GGCTACGGCGACGTGCTCACCGGGAGATGTGGCTCAGGGCATCAACGGTCACTGCAGCTGACCGGGAGGTTCTAGATTCTAGTCCCGATGGTGGCAGGATTTTCGACACTAGTCAGCTAGATCGAATTCAATCACTATGGAGGAGAATTAGGAAGGCCGGCTGCTCTGATCAGTAGTTTTCCGTGGTTTCTCCTATCAACACTAGGCGAGAGCCGGAGCAGTACCCTAGCAAACAGACCACGCACCACGCGTAATCTTTCCTTCATCTTCCTTGTTCTATCCTCGCCCCTTATTTACTCACTAGCATGCACTGCACTATCACACGTCGGGAGACCGGTCGGGAGCTTAGAACGTGTCCCGGCTGGGGCGGTGCATCGCGGCTAGGAGATACATGGTTGAGAAAAACCTTTCTAGCCGACGGTAGGTCTGCGCCGAATCTCGCCATACAGCGGGGGAAGGGCACCGTCACCTCCCTAGGAAACAAATCAAGCACTACACGTACGGGACTGCAGTAGACGCGTCTGGAATCTCTAACAAACACCAACATGCACGAGGAGATGAAACAAGTTGTCCGTCAACAATACAGAGATGCCCGGCATAACCTAAAAATAGCATTCAAAGACAGCAAACGCAGAAGCTGGGTCGAGTTGTGCAATGGAGTGAATAATGATCCATGGGGAAGATCCTACAGAACTGTAATTGTCATGAAGAACTTGCATATGCCTGACGGAGCAACCACTTTAAAGAATAGTTACCACTCTCTTCCCAGACGCCCTAGAGCGGCTCCTGGAGCTCGAGGAGAGACTACGAGAACGTAGACTGCCGCGTACGGAGTCAGTAACTACTTGGCTGCGCGGAAAAACGCCACGTGTTAGGCACAGATGCCAACGAATGGCGGTCGAAACTTTGGCACCTGTGCCTCAGTCGCGGCTTATCATGGACAGTCAAGTAGTTAGGATGGGTTACAGAGGAAGAACTCGAACTCGTGAAAGGGCGGAGAACAAGAGCAGACGGCATCCCAAACATCGTCCTCAAAGTAGTAATTCGGGACTTACCTCAGTCTTTTTATAGACGTATACAGGCGTTCCTACTAGAGGACGTGTTTCCTGATACTTTGATGCAGCGACTGGTACTACTCCCTAAAGGGAAAAGTCCAATAGAAGAAGCATACCTACCAGTCGTACGTAATTGACAAGGCTGATCATGCTGGAGCGATTGCTATGCAGTCATGTGGAACAATACGAACGCAGGAGGGCTTGCAGAAAACCAGTATGGGTTTAGAAAAGTTAGATCTACACTGGGTGCCGCTCAACATGTGGTTAACATTGCTCGATAAGTAAGATAAGACAACATGGAGAAGGGTGGGAAAAACTATTGCGCTATTGTCACCCTAAATGTCAAGAACGCCTTCAACTCGGCGAGATGGAAATGCATTCTAAGGGCTCTAAAGCACATAAGAGTACCACAGTAACTATCATCTGCTAGTTAACAGGAAAAATGCTATTGTACCGCGCGGAGGATGATCAACGGCTGCTAGAGTTACCAGCGCTTTCCACGGGGTTCCCAGCCGTGCAACGTAATGTATGTCCGCGTTCTAGGAATAGAGATGTCGGAATGTGCTGAGATCATCGGTTTCGCGCACGACGTGGCACTCTCTAGTGGCCAAACATATAGAGGAATTGGTTGAGATCGCTAGTTAAGCCGTGCCCTTAGTCCGCCGATGGTTAACCTCTTGCCATTAGCGGATCAAAAACTGAGACAATTCTATTGAGTAGAAAGGTGTGAGAATCACTATTTCTGCGGAAGACAAACGCATCCATATCTCAAGTACTTAGAAATTATGGTCGATGCAAGGCAACGGTTTATCGATCACCTATTATACATCAGTGATACGGTGGCAAAAGTGACAATGGCCTTGTCAAGACTAATTCCGAATTCGGAGGACCGAGACTGCTGTCGAGGGGAGACGACTGCTGTCAAATTGCACCACTTCGATCCAGCTATATGCTACTCCGGTGTGAGCAGCAGCAATAAATAGCGTCGAACAGGAAGAAGACAGTGTATGTTGTTCAGAAGTGTACTTAAAGTGGCTCGCGTATACCGCACAGTCTCATGATGCAATGTGTGTAGGGACAGGCTTGCCTCCAATCTATCTCCTAGTGGCAAAACGACACGTGTCCTACAAACTCGACAGACAGAACAAGGAAAAGGAAGACCAGAGAGGCCACGCAGAAAAGAGACGCGAGTCCATGATTCAGTGACAGAGGCTATGGGACAGCTCTCTAAAGTGGAGACGGACACATCGACCCATCCCAAATATAGAAATATGGGAAGGGCGAAGCTATGATGAACTGGTCTTCCATCTAACAAGCTGCTGAGTGGACACGGCTGTTTCCAAGGGTATCCCATCCGATTTCACCGGTCTGCAAACCTAGCGTGCCCTCACTGTTCACAGTAGCGGAGAATGAAGAATTTTGCCCTACCGGCAAGCTCGGACAGCAACTGTAGCCCGAGAACAAGGGGAATGCTGCCTTCAAGGGAGAAGCAGCTGGCAGTGACGGCTCAAATATCAAAAAGCTAAGACTCTAGGTGCGGAGAGAATGGTGTCCTAGAATGATGCTAAGAGGCTAAGGGGCGCATGCCATATCCACCCCTGCGAAGTAATGCCTAACGGCGGTTCCGTGGGGTGGAGAAGCATAGGGAGGTGGTTTTAGAGAGTAAAATTATGACACTACCATATGGTATGGTGATATGGTGTCTTTTGAAGATTTCCAGCTACCTATGTAACATACATAGATACATACACACTTAATGAAAATATACATTCCTATGCCTCTGAGTATGTGTTGCTCAACATCTCTTGGCACTCAAGAGCCAATACTTAGATAGGGTTACAATAGCACATAATTTCTCGCAGCATTACAATGTTATTATGTACGATGGGACACCCATAATTTTTCATTAATTTCAAACAAATTACGCAAAAACTAACTTTTACAAAAATTGTTCACAACCTTTTTAAAGAGCTAATGTTGTACAACACTTGAGGCAAAAATCTCTATCTCTAATTTTGTAGTTTTGAGGTTTCTGAAAAAAAGACTAGCAATGTCCAAAAATGAGCATAATTTTTTTTACCCTTATTACATATATGAAGAAAATTCAATGAAAAAATTTGAACTTAATGTTGTACTAATAGACTTTGTCTGGGGCAAAAATCACTATCTTCAATTTGGTACAATTTTTTTAATATAAAAATTGTTTTCCATAGTGAGTTTTTTCATTATGGTCATGTCCTTTTTGTGGAAATTTTAATAGTTTTTACACAATTCTGCGAGCAGTATTTGCAATTTTAAAAACAACACAAACAAGATTTTTTCAATAACTGCTACAAATGTATTCATTAAAATTTTGGTAAAGGTAGTGCTAAATGTACTCTATGAGATGACATTAACATCAGTTTGCTCTCTACATTTGTTTTCTCAAAAATTACAAAAGTGCATTTTTATTATTATTATTATTATTATTATTTACTTTTCTTTCAAGTTGTTAATATGTACATTATTGTCAATTTGTTCACATTGTATTTATGAGTACATGTGCTTCAAATAATGTCATAAATTTTTTTGAAAATCATGTATTTTCTGTAAAAATTATGATTTAGGATGAGGTTGTACTGTTCTTTGATATTCATAAATTAATATTTCTGGTCTATTAAGGAAAAAGAAAAATTAAGATAATTTCCATACAAAAAATGTACTTTGGGCAGCAATAGATGGCAACTGGCAAGAATATATGGCACGTTGATATAGCTAGCAAGACCAAAGAAAATAGAAAACTAATATGGGAAAGTCTGTGCCATTTTGTAGCCACTACAGTTTTTAACAATTTTGGATTTTTTGCACATTTTTAGGGGATTTTAAACTTCAAGTCGAAGTTGGCCACCTCTTGAGGGTAGACTTGAAAGTTTTTTTCATATATTGTTCCCTTATTCATCTGTTATGTTATAAGTATACAATGTAAAATATCAATAGATTTTTGAAAATTCTAAGATTTTTTTCATTACTTTATTTCACTTTCCCGTTTTTTATGTAATACATCATTTAATGTGATTTTGTTAAGATTATAAAACGACATGTTAAAGAACGGTTTAATTAAAGTTCATTGTTTTTGGAAGGAACTAAAATTAACTCATATAATCCTATTAGACTATATACTAGTAAATTCTGTAACTAGGCATGGGATGTTTCTGGAAATGCCTATTTTATTCTAGCAATCTTATTAAAAGGCTGAAAATATATGTAAACAAATCATGACATATGACATGTTTTATAATTCTTATTTTTGCTTCTTTTTTTAGCACATATGCCTATTTTTTCATAAATACCTTTTTAGAATTATTGGACTTTTTTGTCTTTTATGTATTATTTTTATATACAATGCTAATAGAAAATCGGACATGGCCTTTGTATTTTAAAATACAAGAGAATTCCTGAAAGTATACCAATAAATTTTTCTCCATTTCCCTCTTTCATAAATACCAGGTATGTTCCGAGAACATGATCGATAGACAGTACACAGAGGGACGGAAGGAATACAGCATAACTAGCTTGTTAACTTTCACAATTGAGTAAAACGCTGAAATTCTTCAAATTTTGTATCCCTTGGCAATAAGGCAATAATAATGATAGATGAAATAATTTAAGGATAGATTAATGTCTATGCCTAAGTTGTTGTATCCACATCATTTGTCACCACTGTAAATTTTAAAATTTATGAACAGGTTCTTACATCATTTTTATCATGGATTTAATACTTTTTTGGAAATAAAATTATTTATTACATGAAACTGCAAGCCCCTAACAATACATTCAGGAGGGACCTGTGAGTGCAAGCCCACAACATGCTGTTTTAATGTGATGATCAATATGTGGTCTGAAGAATTGATACAATCCTAGGATAACATTCTACGATTGCTAATTTTAAATGTCTTGATTTTACAGAGGCAAAACCAATACATGAAGTTTCCCTTGATAACGAGCCTGAAGTAATGGAGTGAGTATTATTGTGTGCAGAATAGATTGATTTTGCCCTAATAACTTCCACCTCACTGGATGTTCTCTCTCAATTTTGCAGACAAGTTATAAACCCAGAAGATAACATTACCAGGCAAGAACAGCAACTTGACGCAATGAATAGAGTAGCTACAGCTATTGAATCATTATCTGGTAATGTATCTGTGCTGGTTGAACGTTTATCAAGTCAGCAAGAAGAATTAATAGCTATATTACGTGCACTACAGAGAAAAGTATGTTCAGAAGAAAATACCAATTAGTTTGCATTTCAAAATTGCTCTCATAAACCGTGCGTCTTATGATGACTTTGTGTTAAAACACTTGAACTGATGTCATCTTTTATATAGTAGACATGTACCTTTTGTATAACTAGTATTTCAAACCTTTTTTTTTTTTTTTTAAGTTGTTGTTGTGTATCACACATAATTTTCTGCTGTACATAGTTTTGTATTTGTATTCATTTAATACAAGAATTAATGTTGATATTTTCTTCTTTATGCACTGCTTAAATTTATGATCTCCATTGTATACTGTATATTGTGTATTAATCTCGGTATGATTAATGATTAAAGCATCTTTTAGATTGTATTATACAATACAGTGAACATTGCAGAAATTTGAGATTAAATTTACTTTTTGCTTTTAGACAATAAAACTTGTATGTAATCAGTGATGATATTGTTGAAAAGTTATAAAGAAGTAAGATGAAACCAGTAAAAGTATTATTTTCATTTGGTCGATTTGGGCCTTGCAACATAACATCATGGTATCTCCAAAGTAGTGGGCCCAATGTGTGCCCTCCCCCC